TGTCATAAAACAGCATGTGTGCTACTGTTACATGAGAAACTATCTGTTCTGTAAGCCTTCACCTGAAGTACAATAAAATATTAAAAAAAAAAAAAGAAAGAAGCCCGCCTTTGAATATGACTCCAGGGGCCTCACTTATTAACAGACAAGGGATTTTATCCCACCATGGAGAACAGGCGTTTGCCAGATTTGTTAACATACCCTTTCCTTTTCCTTTGCTATGTGCTTCCTTCTCTCGCCTTTACCATATGGGAGTTTTTGTTGAAGTTTCCCTATTCCTTCTCTACCATTGCGGATTTACTAGCAAGAAAGACCTTGTCTTGTTAGTTGCCATCAAGCCGATTCTGACTCCTGAGGACCCCATGTGTGCAGAATAGAATTGTGCTCCAGAGGGTTTCAATGGCTGTGACCCTTTGGAAGCAGATCACCAGGCCTGTCTTCTGAGGTGCCTCTCGGTGGGTTGGAACCATCAACCTTTCAGCTAGTAGTCGAGTGGAGCTCTTAACCGTTTGGGCCACGCAGTGACTCCCAAATACCTTGTCTTTGTGTTTATGGGATGCCAGACCACCTGGAGACACACCGAAGCCTAAGTGACAGGACTGGTCTGACCCCAAGAGCCTGGGTTATCGTCCTTGGGAGGGGGTGAGTGTGTTCCATGTGTAGAATCTATCTATGAGGGATGAGTAGCCAAAGGGGTGGACTGTGGCAGACACTGCTAATTGCTTGTCCATAACTACTGTCTCCTTCAATAATAGAACCCTGATTTTACTTGGAGTAACACTGTACCCAGGTAAAGAGCAAGCCAAAGACCAGCCTCCTTTGCAATTATGAACCGCTAACAGAATCAGTTTTTTTCCCCGTTAGGAGTAAATGTTTTTTGTATTTTATTGTTGTACTTTAAGTGAAAGTTTACAGTTCAAGTTAGTCTCTCATACAAAAATTTATATATACATTGTTACGTGACCCTAATTGCTCTCTGTACACTGTGACAGGACACTCCTCCTTTCCACCCCTGATTTCCTGTGTCCATTCAACCGGCTCCTGACCCTCTCTGCCTTCTCATCTCACCTCCAGACAGGAGCTGCCCGTTTAGTCTCATGTATCTACTTGAGCTAAAAAGCACACTCTTCACGAGTATCATTTTATGTCCCATAGTCCAGTCTAATCTTTAACAGAATCAATTTGACAGCAACTAACAAAAACAATGAGATGTACCACCACCCATCTGTCAGTTTGTCATACCATGGTGGCTTGTGTGTTGCTACAATTCTGGAAGCTATGCCACCAGTATTTCAAATACTAGCAGAGTCACCCATGGTGGACAGGTTTCAGGGGAGCTCCTAGACTAAGATGACTAGAAAGAAAGGTCTGGCAATCTACTTCCAAAAATCAGCCAGTGAAAACCCTATGGATCACAACAGAATACTGTCTGATGTTGTGCTGGGAGATAAGACCCCTAGGTTAGAAAGCACTCAAAATACACAGTGGCTGCCACAATGAACTCAGGCATACCACCGATGGAGAAGATGGCATAGGACTGGGCAATGTTTTGTTCTGTTGTACATGGGGTCGCCGCGAGTCAGAGCTAACTTGAAGGCAACTAGCAACAACGACCATGAGACCAGGTTCATATTAATAATAATAATAATATCAAAGAACTCCATAGGTGCCTGCAGGGGGAGCATTTATTTTGAGCTGCAGATGGGACAACCACTCTGATGGCTCCCAGGTATGCCAAGGTGGGCCACCGTCCTGCCGTCCTCACTTCCAGCGGCCTCCCAGGCGGCCCTTCCCTGCCCCCTTCCGGCTGTAGAAGAAAAAGGGGTTTCAGGAAGGAAGGGCCTCCTCAATCTCTGAGGATAGCCCCAGGCCTTCAATTCAAAAAATCCATCCCCCCAAATATCCACTCTCCCAGCCCACAGCACATAGTGGGCAAATGCATTCAACCATCCTCTCGTTCAGGGTCACAGATGGGGGTGAGCTGGCAGTTGATATTTGTAAATGAGTGCAGGGTGTTCAGGCAGGTGCTGATAAATGTTTATGAGTACAGGGGATGGGGAAGGAAGGAGTGGGTGGTCTAAGGGTGGGTAACATGCAAAAGGGGCTGGGGAGGCTGGGGTGAAAGAGACAGAAAATGAGAAGAAGGGAGAGAGGGAGGGAGAGAAGAAAGAGACAGAGAAAGAGAGACTGAATCACAGAGAGACACAGAGGGAGGAAGAAACAGATGCAAATATTCAGAAAGAGATCACCCACAGGACAGACAGATTGACAGAGCCAGAGAGACAAATAGAGAGCAGGAGGGAGGGAGAGACAGAAAGGGAAAAAGAGATTGACTTAGGGAGATACAGAAAGAGGAAGAGACAAGCACAAGCAAACAATCAGAGACAGAGAGAGAGAGATCTGAGACATATACACAGAGAGATTCGCAGAGCCAGAAGGACAAATAAAAACAAAGGGAGAGAGACAGAGGTGAAAGCATTTACAAAGAGGCAGACACAAGAAGAGACAGACAGAGAGACTCCCACAGAGAGTCAAAGAAAGACAAGAGGAGAAGAGAAGAGAGGAGAGGAGAGGAAGACAGAGACAAAAGAGAGAAGAGACAGACAGAGGGGGGAGAGGGAGGGACAGAGAGGAAGAAAGAGAAGGAGGAGGAGGAGAAAAAGAAGAAGGGAGGGGATGGTGAGAAGGGAGGGAGAGAGGAAGAAGGGAAAGTCCTAAGAGTCAGAAAGAGGGTCATGGAGGATGAGCAGATGCAGGTGGGATGGGCAGGGAGCCCAGCTCCCACTTACAACTTCTGGGCGTGGCTGATGCGGTTGTAGAGCACGTTGATCTGTGGAGGCAGGAGGGAGATGCTGGAAAGGCCAGTGGGGACATGCCCACTCACCCTCACTGGTCCAGCCTGCCCAGCCTGGCCTCCTGCAGAGAGGGGTCTCACCTCGTATTTCTGCTGCTTCAGCTTCTCCATCAGGTCAAACTTCTCGGACTCCAGCTGGTGGATCCAGTCTGACAGCTCCTGGGCCTTTTCCCTGGCAAGGCAAAAGGGCTGTGATGGAGGGGAGCCATGCCATGCTATGGACCCAGGGATAGTGAGGGACATAGGCCCAGAGAGGTTGAGAGGGCTGCCCAAACCCACACAGCAAGACTCTGAGTTCAGCATTACTGGCGCCATTTTGTTAATATTTGAGGCCAAATATTCAAAGTGACTTGAAACAAAGGGATTTTACATCTATGCCCGCTTTCTCCATATCCAAAATGGAGGTTTGATATTTTCCCAAGGCAGGGTGATGTCATGGTTAAGAGCCCAGGCTCTGGAGTCAGAGTGCCCTGGGTTCAAATCCCAGCTCTGCCATTCTCTGTTTTGTAGACTATGACCAAGTGAATTCCGCTAGGATCCTGTTTCCTTCTCTTAAAAATGAAGAAAAAAAAAATTATGGAAGAGATGGCTCATTGCCTACCCAATATCTCTTCTCCCATTCTTTCTTAAAAACAAAACCTTGTGCAATAGCCACAGTTGTAGAACTGTATTTCCCATTCTCTCCTGCAGGTAAGGGTGACAAGTGAAATGAAAGTAGGTCATTGGATAGGACTTCTAGGAAAGCCTTTGTGGCTCTTCCCTTGCAATTTCTTTCTGCTACTTGGATACCGAATGTGATGACTGGAGCTTCAGCAGCCACACTGGGCCAGGAGGTGACGTTGCAGATGTTACTACTGGGCTAAAAGTGGTGGAACAGAAAAACTGAAGTCTGAGTCTCTTGATGATTTTGTAGAGCTGCCATGGATTACCTACCTTCAGATTTATTGTATGTGAGAAACCAAACCCCTGTGTTTTAGGCTGCTACAGTCAGACCTCAGTTATTACCATTCAAACTAAATCTTAACTGATAAGATGTGGGGATGAGATAATGCATGTAAAGTACCTGGCACATAGTAAACACTCAGTGAAGCTGGTTGCTATTCATTTCATTATTACTAGCACTCTTTGTTTTCTTTTTGCCAGCTAATGGCTTTCAAATACCCTCTCCTCTATGATGTATTTTATTTAAAAACTTATAGTCCTCATATGACTCTAGTTTTTCTATCTAATAAATAAAATTTAGGTAACTTGAGATCCTCTAAAAACCTTATGAGACACAAATTATGAGTGTGTATATAGTGGGGGATAGGAAAAAAAAAGAGGTAAAACAAACACTTAACCAGTTGTCGTCAAGTCTATTCCAACTCATGGTGACCCTATGTGTGTCAGAGTAGAACTGTGCACCATAGGGCTTTCAATGGCTGATTTTCCAGAAGTGGATTGCCAGGCCTTTCTTCCAAGGCACCCAAGTGTGTCCGCTGTTCACACCACCTAGGGACTCCGTCACTAGTACTGTTGTTATTGCTGTTGGGTGCTGCCGAGTCGATCCTAACTCATAGTAACCCCATGTGTTACAGAGTATAACTTCCCCATAGGATTTTTTGGCTGTAATCTTTTTACAGAAAGCAGATAGCCAGGCATTTCTACCGTGGAGCCGCTGGGTGGGTTCTAACTGCCAACCTTTTGGTTAGCAGCTGAGTGCTTAACCATTGCACCACCAGGGCTCCTTGTCACTGGTTCTAGAACCTACTTTTTATGGCTGTGGCCTGTAGGGTCTGGCAGGTGATATGGGGGGAAGCCAGACAATACGACTCACTCAGACTTAGGAGATGTTATTGACCTAATGATGCCCCATGGCCACTCAGGACAGACCCCATCTTTTAAGAATTTTCCAGCTGAGCCCCTACCCAACAGGACCCTATCTTCCCCTTCAGATCGCAGTTTGGCATCAGCCCATGACCAAGACAGCCTTCATCTCATGATAAATTACAAGAGGGAAGGCTGCTGAGGATCATTCCTTCAGGGGCCTCATTTTCATCTTGACATTCTCTGGCCTGGGACATGGCTCATGAAGCCTGTACCTTCAAGCACTCCAGAGGGGACACAGGGACACTGTGCTCTGAAGTTGCTCTGCCACTTACTAGCTGTGTGACCTTAGGCACATTCCTTCACTTCTCTTGGTCTCACTTTCCCTGTGGAAAACCCTGTGGATCACAGTTTTATTCAGAGACACATGGGAGTGCCATCAGTCCAAGTCAACTCCACAGCAACTGGTTAGTATCAGTGATGCTTTTCATAACAGAAGCAACAGAGGACCAGAGAGGGGGAGCCACTGGCCCAAAGTCACACAGCACCCGGGGCTCAGACCCTGGGCTTCTGTCAACCCAAGTCTGGGTACGTGTCCTGCAGTGTTGTGGATGCCAGGGGTGCTGGTCCCTTATCTCCCTGTCTCAAACGACAGCCCCTCAGGCCCTGAGCCCCCGCTGCACCTACCGTAGCTGGTCTTCGCCCATGTGGTCGACGTTCAGAGGCTTTTTACGCTCAGACAGGATCCGCTGTTTCATCTCCCGCCCCGTCTGGCGCTTACCTCGCTTTTGTTCAGCCTGAGGATTGGGAGGGGATACCTTGAACCCAGAGCACAAAGCCTCCAGATCCAAATTGCTCCCAATGTCAGGATCCTGGGGTCTGCACTCCCAGCCCCTCCTCCCTCAGACCCGGGAGCCCAGGACCCCAGTCCATTCTTCCATCCATCAGAAACCAGAAGTCTGGGCTTTCAACTCCCTACCTCCCTGGGAACCCAGGCTTCAGACCCCAGCTGGCTGAACTCACCTTGACCAGGTAACCCCCAAAATGGGCCCCCATGTTGGACAGAACCTTCTTCTTTTTAGCATCGTCCTCAGCCCGCTTCTTGGCTTCTTCCTCTTCCTTCCGCATCTTCTCCTCCTGTGGGAAGAAACAGGTTAACCCCAAGGCCTCCTGGGACTGAAGGGCAGAGGGCCTGGGATGGGGATGTGGGAGGGTGGCTCAAAGCAATGCTGACAGTCAATGCCCAAGGGCAAGGCCAATACTGAAACCTACTGGAACTGGCAAAGATGCAGGAGTTCCTGGTCTGGCTCTTTAACCAGACTGTGTGACCTCCTGCAAGTCCCTTCCTTTCTCTGGGCCTTAATATCCCCCTCGGCAAAAATTAAGATATAGGAGTAGGGTAGGGGGTTACCCTTTTCTTCTACATCCCTCTAGCCTAAAATGGCCAATGGTGAACTTTGCTGTGTGACTTCATTGAGACACTTAACCTCTCTGGGCCTAGGTCTCCCATCCATGAGCCGAGAATGACTGTGCTCCGAGGGTCAAGGAGGGTAATGGGTGATGGAGGGAGGCTTGGGGCACGAAAGAGACTGATGGCCTTGAGCCTAGAATGTCTAGCGAGACATTATGTTGTTCTGGAAAGTATGTGTTAGAAGTTTCAGAAATAGTGGCTTGTCTAGGCCGAACTCCTCATCCATAGGGTGGTGTGTCAGTACAATTGTTCTTTGTATGTCCAACATTTACCACCTATATTAGTTTCCTATTGCTACTGTAATTTGCAAGTATAGTGGCTTAAAACAACACAAATTTATTATCCTGTAGTTCTAGAGGTCAGAAATCAGACGTGGGTCCTATGGAGGTAAAATCAAGGTGTCAGCAGGGCTTTGGTCCCTTTGGAGACTCTAGAAGAGAATCCATTTCCTTGCCATTTTCAGCTTCTAGAGGCCACCTGCATTCCTTGACTTGTGATCCCTTCCTCCACCTTTAAAGCCACAATGTAGCATCTTTAAAATAAATCTCTGACTGACCCTCCTGCCTTCCTCTTATAAGGACCATTGTGATTACACTGATCCCATCTGGATAATCTCCCCATCTTAAGATCCCTCACTCAATCCCATCTGCAAAGTCCCCTTTGCCATGTAAGATACCATACTGGCAGATTCTGGGGTTAGGATGTGGACATCTTTGGGGGGACCATTAAGATACCTACCACACCACCCTACAAGTGGTTTGAGTGGGGCCCCACTCCTTGATGCCAAGGTAGATAGATCCTGTTTCCAAGGCCTAAACCAATCAAGGCATTCCAAACACAATCCCCCAACTAGCCAGTGATTAGCTCAGTAGATGGACAGCTGGATAATCTGAGTGCACTTCAGGATTTGTGCAGGAGACACAGAAAACAGGAGGTTATTAGCTGAATAACAGATTGGCCCATAAAATAAAGAATATCACCTGTGAGTAATGAGCTGCTTTTAAAAATAATCTCTAGGAGACAAAATAATCAAAAATTGCTCTAAAGCAGGGAAACTAGAATACTGGAAATGGTACAACCAGAATAGAATGAATGATGACACATTATGAAAAATGTAACCAATATCAGTGAATAATTTGTGTAGCAATTGTTAAATGGGAACTTAATTTGCTGTGTAAACTTTCACCTTAAACACAGTAAAATATCTTTATTAAAAAAAAAGAGAGAGAGATTAGGCCAGAGCTGTTGGCCACCATCTTGCTACCCTCAAGAGGAAAACCTGAGAACGTGGGTATCCAGTAGGGTGACCAATCATACTGGGATATGGGATTTTCAGTGCCCAAACCAGGAAAATCCAGGGCAAACCAGAACAAGTTAGTCACCCTAGTGTTCAGAGAAAGATGGACAGAGGATTGGGAAGAGAAAAGCTAGGTCTTTGTGATCCTTGAGTCCCTGGATCCAACCCTACCTGAAGCAAGCAAAGTAGTAGACTTTTAATTATATGAGCCAATACTTTTTTTTTTTCTTAAGTCGTTTGGATTGGGATTTATATCTCTTCCAACAGAAAGGTTCTTAACTAACACAGAATGGGGACTTTCTCCGGATCACAGAGAAATTCACAAATAGAAAATAGAGCATCCAGCTAAAGTAGTAGCATTTGGGCTCCCAGGAAGCTGCAAGGGAGGCACCCACCGCCAGCTTGGCCTGACGCTCCCGCTCCTTCTCTGTTCTGAAGCGCTGTTGCTCAGCTCTCTCAGCCCGGCGCCGCTCCTGAGGAAAGGAGAGGAATGAGGGGGTGCAGGAGCCACGCCTTATACTCCCCAGAGTGGGCTAAGAGTGGAGATAAATGGTTTGAGTGTGGCGACCAACTTCAGAACATTCCCAAAATTCTCTCTGCTGCAGTTCTATACACCATTCTTCATATCGCTCTAGACCCAAGAAATGGACACGCGGTGAGGAAAGAATCTGGGGGACCTCCAACTCTTCCTGACTCACAATGCGTTCCTTCAGCGCAACGAGCTCCTCTTCCTCCTTCTTCCGCTGCTCAAAATGCACATCGATGAGCGTCTGCAGCTCGAGCAGATCTTTCTCCATGCGCTTCCGGTGGATGTCCTGTAGGACAGAGAGTGGGAGCCCTGTTATTCCCAGGGCAGTGCCTCCGGACCCTCTGGAGGCACCAAAAGCCTCTAGGCGTCTCTCAGAAATGTCAGAGCTCCCATGTGCGCTAGGGGGAGCTCTTCACAGCAAGAATCGATGGTTTTGTACGTTTATTGTGACATTTACCTCCAGCAGGTGGCGGTAAAGCGTCTTCTGACACTAGTGAAATATTTTGACGCTCTTCGGAAGGAAAAGAAGTTAAGCGTCTTAATTTGCACAAAGGCACCATGCGAGCTAGCGACAGAGCCTGGAGATGAGATATCTATTACTTACATCGAAGTCGACGCGTTCCCCTTCTGGGATCTTTGGGGGGATCAAGGGAGGCACCACAGGACGACTGGGTGGATAGAAGGAGAGAAAGATGATGAGTTGTCTGACTTCCCTGACCAGATTACAGGGCGGCACTATCCAATATGGTAGCTACTGGCCACACGTGGCTCCTGAGTACCCAAAATATGGCTAGTTCGAATTGAATTTTAAAAAATGTAAAATATCTCATTAATAATTTTATATTGATTATATGTTGAAATGATAAAATTTTGGATATGATGGGTTGAATAAAATATACTATTAAAATTAATTTTACCTGTTTTGTCTTGCTTTTTTTAATGTGGCTACTAAAAATTTTAAGTTATATGTGTGCTCGATGGGCTTTCATGGCCTCTGCTGGCCTGCCTAGCTTAGGATCCTCACCATCAGAATGACCAGTGTCTGCTTTGGTTCCCTGAAAAACCAGACTATATCCAACCAGCAGACTCTGTACACATCCCTCTCTCTGCCTAGAGGGCCCTTTCTACCTCCTTCAGCTAGGAAATGCCTCATCCCTGAGGACTCAGGCATCACCTCCCCCAGGAAGTCTTCTTTAATTGCCTAGGGCAAATATAAGGCCCTCTTCTGTGCTGCTCTGGTACCCTGGGCTACCTGGTCTACCCTTCATTGTTTCTGGGTCGGTTCCACCTATAGGGAGGACAGGCTCTGCCTTGCTAAACACAGAGGGAAGTTCTTGGGAAATGTTGGCTGAAAGAAGGAATTGCTGACTGTCCTTTTCCTTTCTTCGGATTCTCCCACTCTCCTTCTCTGCTTTCTCTCACTGTGTCTCTGGCGGTGAGGGTGGGGGGAATATTTAGGAGGACATAGTCTGGAACCCTTGCATAGGATCTCACCTGGGCTTGGGGCGTTCCTCTTCTGGTGTGGGTGGCATGGGGGGGGGATACAGAGAGATAATTAGCAGGAGTTCACGGTAGGGGTGGGGCGTGGCACACCCTGGAGAGGAAATTCCCCAAGCCTCTGCCCCCAGGAGTACAGTGCCCTCTTCCAGTCCCTCTCAGGAAGGGGGATGAGGAGGGGAAGAAAAGGGGAAAAGGGAAGCTAGGGTGGTCATTAAGGAGGAAGAGGGTCACACGCATCAGATATACATTCAGAACTGGTGTGGGGGTCTCCCCCCTCCCTTCTGGGAACCCAGGAGTCCAAAACCCCAGACCCTCCTCCCTCTATACCCAGAGGGCTTGCCCACCTCCAAGAATAACCTAGCAATGGAGGATCCCAAGCCCTCTCTTGGTTGAAGGACCCAGAGGTTCTGATCCCAACCCCCTCCCGTCTCAGGAAACAGGAATTTCCTCTCCTAATTCTTGACTCTTCCGCAACCCTAGAACACAAGGCCCCAACCTTTGAATGTATATGGGGGACAAATATAACAGACAGGGTCAGGGGCGAAGATGAGGAGGAATGGGGTGATGCCTCTCAGCAAACATCCAACCCTTCTATAAATATTCCTCCAGACTGAGGAAGAAGGCTTGGGTGTCGGTCCCTTTAAGAAGGAAGGGAAAGGGTTAAAGCCACTGCCAGGCAATTTCCCTTCGCGGCCACAAGAGGGCTCAGGAGCTCTCAGGGGCTTAAAGGACCGGGTCTAGGGCGGGGGTGGAGGGCGGGGTGGGGGTAGGCATCGTGGGGGTCAGGGCCCGATGATATCGGGGATCTCCCCTGGCCCCCGAAATCGGTCTCGGGAAGCGAAGCAGTCGCGGTTACCTCGCTCGGCCTCCGGCTCCGGCTCCTCGGGGGCTGGGGAAGGGGCAGGAGGAGAAGCAAGGATATGGGGTGTGAGGGAGGGGTGCGAGGGGGCAGGAGCGGCCACGCCAGGATGCAGGAGAGGGAGAGAAGGGGGAGAGGGGAGAGGCTGTTAAAGGGACTGGAGCCGAGGCCCTCGGGAGCGCCCCTCCCCAGCCCAGCAGCCGCCCCTGGCCTCCAGCGTCCCCACCCCCACCCATCCCGTGGAAACCTGGACCCCGCGTCCAGCTCCGAACCTGCGGGATCCAAGACCTCACCTTCCTCCTCCTCCTCCACAGCCTCTTCTTCTCCTAGGGGGATAAGGAGAGAGAAGAGCAGGCGTTAAGGGCTCAGGAATCCCAGGGTCCCAAGGTGTCCAGGTTAAGAGACCCAAAATCCCAATATCCCCAGGTTCTGACCCCCCAGGAATGTCCCTCGTTTCTGACACCAGCAAATCCTCATATCTCCAGATTCTGAGACCCCAATTTCTGATATTCTCAGATTCTGGGACCCTCAAATCTTGAGAACCCTAATTCTAAGACTCCAAATTCATCACCTTCAAATTCTGAGATCCCCAAACCCTAAACTCCCCAGTTCCTGACGCTTCAAAATTCTGACTTCCAACATTTAGATATCCCAATTCTAACCCCCCAAAATCTAACACACCAAATTCTGAACCTCTATATTTTGCCACACCATAATGCTGTTACTCGTTTCTGAGGCAGAAGGGCTTTTAGATGGGGAGGGGGTGAGAGGTGCGGGTGAGCAGAGGAGATGGCCAGATAGAGTTCCAGACTCCAGATTCGGCTGGAAGTGGGCACCGTGGCTGACCTAGGCCTTTCCACAGGCTCTGTGCCGGCGAGGTTGGCTAGTAGCTGGGGAGTGTCGGTCCGCCCTCCCACCCCCCCACCCCAACTCGCTCCTTCTCTCCCATTGGCTAAGATCGGCCTGGGTGTCCCCGCCCGCTGAGGCCAGCTCCCTCGGGACTCACCTTCCTGCTGCTCTCTGAGGACCGGGTGGCGAAGAGAGAAGGGAGAGTTAAATGTAGGGGGGAAGGATGAGAGAGGCCCTCCACGTCTCCAAACCCCTCACCCGCCAGCATCACTCACTCTTCATATTCCTGCTCTTCGGTGTCCGACATCCTGGTGTGACCTAAGGGCCAGAGAAATGGCTGAGTTAGGCGTCCTTAGAGAAGACGAGCTGCAGGATCAGACTCCCGGCTCTGAGAGAGGAGGGGCCGGGGACACAGACTCCTGGGTCTGAGGGAGGAGGGGGCTAGGGTCAGGACTCCTCGGTCTGAGGGGGCTGGGGGCCCGGACTCCGGAGTCTGGTTGGGGGGGATGGGGTCAGGACCCCTCGGTCCGAAGGAAGAGGGCCTGGGGGCCCAGACTCCTGGGTCTGAGGCAGGAGGGGGTTGGGGGCCCAGATTCCTGGGTCCGAGGGAGGAGGGGGCTAGGGGCCCGGTGTCGTAAGTCCTGGATGAGAACCGGGTACTGGGAGGTGTGGTCCGGGCACAGTCCCAGCGCCGCAGCAACTACCCCCAACCCCAGCTGTCCTCCTTTGTCTTATGACAGGTCCACGGGAACCCGATCTGAGTGGGGATTAGGAAGAGGTATTTGGGAAGGGACAGTGGCCTGAAAACAATAGCTGCCCCACTCCCAAGGGCTATTTTGGGGGGTGATGTAGGCGGTGCTACAGAGGACATTTCCTAATAAGGGGTCTGAGGGGGCTTCTGGAGGATCAGTCACACACACCCCAGCTGGCCAGTTGCCTGGGAGTCCTCCCACCTGTCTCCCCTTTTCACCTTTGGCCACATCCACGGTGTGGGCTCATCAAGAGCAGCTTCTGCCCATAGATTTCACCCTGACCCCTAAATACTTACAGCTCCCTAGTCTCTGGGATCCCCTGAGTTCCAAGATGCCCAGGTTTAAGAGACCCCCAAATCCCAATATCTCCACATGCTGACCCCCCAGTTAATGTCCCTGATTTGACACCAGCAAATCCATATATCTCTAGACTCTGAGACCCCAATTTCTGATATTCATAGACTCTGGGACCCTCTTATCTTAAGATCCCCGATTCTAATATTCCAAATTCTGTTACTCCAGATTCTGAGATCCACAAACCCTGAACTCCCCAATTCTTGACACTTCAAAATCCTGTTATCTCGGATTCAGATATCAATCCTAATCCTCCAAAATCTAATACCTCAAAATCCTGAGCTTCTATTCTAGCACCCCAAAATGCTACAGTTCCCCTTTCTGAGACCTTAAATCCTGAAACCCCAATAGTGACACCCCTAAATATCAACACTCTTGATTCTGAGACCCCAATTCTTGATGCTGCAGATTATGGGCCTAAACATCCTAATATCCCCGGGACCATCTTAATTCTGAACTCTCTAGATTATGAGACCCCAAAATCACAATACCCAAGCTCTGAGGCCCAAATCATAATACCCCCAAATTATGAGACTACAAATGCTGATCACCCCAATCACAATACTTCAGATTTCGAGATCTCAATTCCTAAAACCCCAGATTGGGACACCCTCCCCCACCTCCTCCATATCTGATACCATCAGAGTTTAAAATTCCAAATCCTGATACCCAGACTGTTGGACCTCCAAGCCCAGATACCCCCAATTTCTGAGATCTTCCCAGACTCTGAGACACTGGGGTCCTAAAATGTTGTATTCTGGGACACCCAAATTCTGGCACCCCAGGTCCTATTAGCCCCAAATCCTAGTACTCTTCCCTCAATCCTGAGTCCCGCTACAGCCTGAACTTCCCAAACTCTCAGACCTCCATCTTTATGCCCCTTCTACCTCCATGCCTCCTCCTCTCCATCCCTCATCTCCCCAACCCCTCTCCTGCCCCTACCCGAGGACATTGTCTGTGGAGACTGCAGGGTCCCCATTACCTAAGGCTGAGTCTTCAGATGCTGTAAAGGGCTGGGCTGAGCAGTGTTTGAGGCTGAAGTATCCCCTGGGTTTATAGACACCGGCTCAGCCCCGCCCCAGGGGGAGAGGGAGGGGAGAGAATTCCTTTCCCCAAACACAAGTCCTGGCTCAGAGTCTGCCCTGTCCCCTCTGGCTCCAAGTTCAGAATCCTGACACCTACTGGCTGCTCCAAGGCCCCTGCCCCACCCCCATGAGCATCTCCCTGGAACCCATGACTGGGTGGGCTGCCCCCTGGGCTCCCGCTGTGCTCTGTGTTACCTCCATTATAGGACACATCACCTGGGCTTTGAAGTCCCTGGGTCCAGCACACAGTAACCCCTGTTGTCATTGAGTCAATTCCGACTCATGACGATCCCATGTGTTACAGACTAGAATTTTGCTCCATAGGGTTTGTTAGGGATTGAATTGTGTTCCCCAAAAATATGCGTTGTAATTCCTAATCTCTATACTTGTGGAGCAGCCCTCGTGGAGCAGTGGTTAAGAGCGTAGCTGCTAACCAAAAGGTTGGCAGTTTGAATCCACCAGCCACTCTTTGCAAACCCTGTGGGGCAGTTCTACTTGTCCTATAGGATCGCTATGAGTCAGAATCCACTTGACGGCAACTTTTTTTGTGTGTGTGTATGTAATCCCATTTGGGAATACGGTTTTCTTTATATGTTAATGAGGCCATATCATTGGAGGGTGTATTTTAAACTAACCACCTTTGAGATACTATAAACCAAACTGATTAGGCAGGGAGAAGGAAGCAGAGATGGGAGGAGATAGATACCACACCACATGAAGATCACCAAGGAACCAAGGAACAAGGACCTTCCGCCAGAGCCAACAGAGAGCAAGCCTTCTCCTAAAGCCAGTGCCCTGAATCTGGACTTCTAGCCTCCTAAACTGTGAGAAAGTAAACTTCTGTTTGTTAAAGACACTCACTTGTGATATTTCTGTTATAGCAGCACTAGACAAGACAGGGTTTTCTTAGCTGTAATATTTATGGAAGCCAGGCCTTTCTTCAGTGGTGCTGCTGGGTGGGTTCAAACCACTAACCTTTAGGTTAGTAATTGAGCACAAACTGTTAATTGAGCACAAAATGTTTGCCCCACTCAGGGACTTTCAGCACACAGCAGGTCTTCAAAACACTTATCCACCAAAGAGGTGCAAAGGACACTTTCTATTTCCATCTGTCTGGTGTCTTTTCCTGGGTCTCTCTGGCCCTCCAGCTCTCGAACCCTGTTTCAATTTTGTCTCTTTGTTGTCTCTGTGACTGCCCATGTGTATATCCCTGTGTGTGTGTGTCTCTACTTCTGTCTCCTCCTCTCTCTGTCTTTGTCCATCTCTGTCTCCCCATCCCCATCCCCTCCCCTTTGTCGCCACCAGGATTCCACTCTGGTGACAACAGGCACTGAAGCTGGGAAGCAGGTGCATGTGTGGGGGAGGGAGGTGGGAGAGAAGAGAGACGGGGTGTCAGTTAGACCAAGTCCAACCTCATCCCCCCACTTCCATATGACACAGATCTTTTTTGGTATCCCCCCTGCTCCCCTCCCCCTCCAAGCCATGACCTTGAATTCTCCACCCCTCCGTGCCTCTCAGTATTTCTGTCTCTCTGTCTCCTGTCTCTGGTATTGTTTCTCTGTTGTTCTCTGGGTGGGTCTCTCTTTGGGAATCTGTTTGGGGGTTTCTCTGTGTCTCTCCGTGTCTCTGCCTCTTCCTGGGTCCCTCTGTGCGTTTCTCACTCTGCAGGTCTCTCCCTGTATTTTTGTCTCCGCACTTCTGTTGTCTCTGCAAATTGGCCTGAGTCTCCTGGTGCATCTCTGTCGGTAACCCTGTTTCTGTCTCTTTGGCTCTATGCCTGCGTTCTTGCCTCTATGTAAGTCTTTCTGGGTGTCTGTGTCTCTGCAGTTCTCCCTCTTTGGGTCTCCATTTCTGCCTTATAGGGTGTCTGGCATGTTTGTGTATATCTGTGTCTCCGTGTTTTCTCCTTTCTTTGCCCTTCGTTCTCTGTATCTCTCTCTTTTTTCTCTCTCTCTCTCTTTGGGTATCTGGCACACTCTCTCTTTCTCTGTGTCTCTAACTCAGTGTCTCTGTCATGGGTGTCTCTCTGTCTCTGTCTTTGGGCATTGGTCTCAGCATCTCTGTTTACCCCCTCCCATGGAACAGAGAAGTCAAGAACACTCCGAGTTGGAGACCCAGCTCTGCCCCTGACCTGCTGTGGGTGGCTTTGAAGGAGACTGCCCTCAGTTTTCCTGTCTCTCTCATTCCCAAGCCCCCAGGTAGTAGACACACAGTCACTCCCAGTTCAGAGAGAAGCCTCTTTATTCCTCAGGGCCATCTTCAAGGCCTCAGCAATGGGCAGGTGGGCTCAGCCCTCAAACTTTTTCTTGCGGCCCTCCATTCCACTCAGAGCATCGATGTTCTTGCGCCAGTCTCCCACACCTCGGTTTTCCTGGGAGGGGTGAGGTCAGAGGTTAGGGTTTCTTCCTGGTCTCCAGTCCCTCAAGTATCCCTCACCTGCCCTCCATCCTGATAGGCTGCTCTACTATGGATGTCTGCCTAAGGATCTGGTTCTGGAACACTTCCTGTCCCCACAGACAATCCCTGCCAAGTTGCCTCATGCACTTCCTGTCCCCACATGCATATCCTACCTTCCACAGGGACTTCTTGTCTCCCACGTACACTTCCTGTCTCCTTCATGCACTACATGTCTCCCACATACTCTCCCAACCTCCTTGCATGCTTCCTTCCTTCCTACTAGACTTTCTGTCTTCCCCTTCCACTTCCTGTCTCCCTCATGCATTTCCTGTTTCCCTTACGTATTTCCTGCTTTATGCTTACTTGCTCTTTCCCTATTATACATCCTGTCTTTCCCTTCTTGTTTCCCTCATTCACTTCCTGGTCCACTCATCACTTTCTTTCTCTTTCATGAACTTCCTATAGCCCTCATGCACTTCCTGACTCCTTGCTACTTCCTCTCTCCCTTTTACGCTTCCTGTCTTCCCCTTGTATGTGCTGTGTTCCTCCTATACTTCCCATTGAGGACTACCTACCAGCTGCCTTCCCTCTCAGTTCCATGAACTACCTGCCTTCAGGCTATGTCCTAGGATTGTTGTCCCCCGCCCCACAGCCCCTCTCCTCAGTACCCCCTCTCCTGGCCCTAGCCCACACTCACCTTCTCAGTGTCCTCCTTCTTCACCTGCTTAAGGTGGGCCCGCAGGTCAAAGGTCTCCTTAGCTCGGGTTCCCAGCAGCGCCTGCATCATGACATCTGCAGAGATGCGTACCCTCCGTAGGGTGGGCCTCTTAAACTTGCCCCGAAGGTCGTAGATCTTCTGGGTCAGATCTGCAATCTAGAGGCCAGAGGGGAGGTAGAGACCCTTCCCTCTGCTTCCGCTTCACCCAGCCTTTCCACCCTACACTCCCCTCCTATCCCTATCCTGCCTTCCAGTACCCAGGTCTCATCCAGGCTCTCCCTAGCTCAGGCTCCCATCACTTTCAGGACAAAGTCCAAACTTTTCATCCTGGAACTCAAAGCCCTCCCTGATCTTCCCCAGCCTCATGTCTCAAAACAAGAAGACATAATCCCAGTCTAGATACATGCATCTCTCACTTCCCTGGCTTGTCCCTCAGCTTTTTTATGAGACCAACATATGTTCTGCTGTGACACCTCCTGGTTTTTGCATGTGCTGTTCACTCTGCCTGGAACAGCCTTTCCTGACCATATTATACTAATTTCTCTGTCCTCTCCCCGCCAGGCTCACAGAGTTGTCCTGGGTTTCCTGGGAACTGTAATCAAAAGCAACTGCAAAGGGTCAGGCTGGGACCACAGCCCCAGGCATCTCACTGGACCCTGTTGTTATTGTTGTTAGGTGACATCGAATTGATTTTTTTACTTATAGCGACCCCATGTGATAGAGGAGAACTGCCCCCATAGAGTTTTTAAGCTGTAATCTTTACAGGAGCAGATTGCCAGGTCTTTCTCACTTGGAACTCCTGGGTGAGTTCGAACTACCAACCTTTCAGTTAGCAGTCAAGAACTTAACCATTGCACCACCAGCTCCTTCAATGGACCCTGGAAGTACCCAAACTGCCCACTGTCACCCACCTCTGTAATGTTCTTGATAACTTTTGCCTCTACATCGTATCTCTCTTCATCCACCTTGTCCACACGGGCGTGGAGCTGTCGGCACAAGTCCTGGTGGAGAAACATGGAATGTGTGGCGGTGGGAAGACTGGAGGCCAAGACTCCTGGGTCTGAGGGAGGACCTGGCTGGGGGCCCAGAGTCTAGGTCTGAAGGAGGAGGAGGCTGGGAGCCCGGACTTCTGGGTCTGAGGGAGGAGGGGAATGGGGGCCCAGAGTCCTGGCTCTGAGGGAGGAGGGACTGGAGTTCTGGACTCCCGAGTCTGACTGAGGAAGAATCTACGGGTCTTGGACTCCTGGATCCTGAAGGAGGAGGGGACTGGAAACCTGAACATCTGGTCCTGTAGGAGGGGATTGGGAGCCTGGCCTCCAGGGAACTGCCAACACAAGAGCGAGGAGCCAGGACTCATGAGAATCTGGAGGAATTAGGGCAGGCGCTACCTCTGAATTTCTGGGAGGTAAGGACTGGAAGATTGGACTCCCGGGTCCTGAGCAAAAGGAGGAATAGCAACTGTACTTCCCCTTCCCACAGGGATGGAAGAACAGACACTAGAAATCTTGGCTCCCAGGCCGGGCAGGAGTCCCTGCCCTGGGAGCCGGTACCTGCAGCTCTGCGAAGCCCAGACCGGCCAGCTCCAGAGGCTGGCACCGGGTGCTCAGAGCACGCCCCTTCTCTCCGCGCCGCTCCTCTGCTTCTCGCTCCAGCTCCTGCTTCGCAATCTGCAGCATCAGGGTCTGCAGGGGTGGAAGGGGACCCCATACAGGGGAGTCATCTCTGCCCTGCCCCGCCCTCCGGTCCCAGGCCGGGTGGATCCTGTCTTCCAGAGACCGCTCACTCAAGGTTGGTGTCATTTATTTTAATGCCCCACCCCTCCCTTAGAAATGAAACCATGCCCACCCAGACCGGCTCCAAATCCCCACACTTCAAGGTTGATGTCTATCATCTCAAAGCCCACCCCTCTATTGGCCACGCCCCTTACCTAAAACCACGCCCACCCTGAGCCCTACCCCTCAAGGTTAGCGGTCCAACATTCCAAAGCCCCGCCCTTCCTAAGTCATGCCCAGCCATAAACCATGTCCACCTGGCCTGGCGCCAAAGCCCCACCCCTCAAGGTTGGTGTCATTCATCTCAAAGCACCGCTTCTCAGCCACGCCCCTGATGTAAAACCAGGCTCACCCACTTCTGTCTCGAAAGCCTAACCCTTAGTATACCCGAAGCCCCACCCAAGCAGCCCTTTAACTTTTAACCCCGCCCCTTTTAAGACGCTTATATTTCTTCTCCCCGCCCATCCTCACCTTCAGCTGTAGTTTTCTCGAGGCCGAGATCTTAGACTTTTTCTGATGGGTGAGATGGAGAGAAGAAAGGTCAAAGAGGGCAATCAGAAGGAAGGAGGCACTTCAGAACCCACCCCCTCAAACCCAATTCCAATTTCCACCCTTATTCTACAGGAAGCTACGCCCCTCAGCCGCATTCACCAATCTCAGGCTCTGATTCCAGCCAAGCACCGCCCCTCCATTCTCTGACGAATCGCAGTTCCCATGGGCAATGGAGTTACGCCCATAAGGTAAATCTCACCAGTCTGAGTCAGCCTTCTGTGATACCCCGCCCCATTGTGCAGTTTGGGCTCCGCCCAAGCCCGCCCCATCGAAGTCCTGGTTCCACCCCTTCTTCCTCTTCACCAATTGCAGTGTCGGCTCTTTCTCACCAATCTGAGCCCAGATTCCCGCGAAGCCCCGCCCCTCGGCCCCTTCCACCACTCTGGCCCCGCCTTTCACCTTGGCGTGCGGCTCGGTGGCATAGGCACGATAGTTGGCTGAAGACCGGCGCCGGACCGGGGCAGGCGCAGGGAGCGGTTCCCCCGCCTGGGGTTGAGGGAGCAGAGCCGCGTCACCACTGGGACTCCACTCGGCCCCTCCCCACACCCTTAGGACTGCAGTCTCCTGCCCCAGCCCCCTCCCTGCAACGCCCACCCAGCCAACAGGATCCCAGCCCACGCCTTAGCCTCCTCCTTACCGCATCACTGTTCCTGGAGGGAGAGAAATGGGAAAAAGGAGATTAATGGTGAGCCTGTGTCCTGTCCAGTCTGTGTCCTCGGGGACCCCAGAGGCCCCTCTTACTCTGACCTAGAAGTCCAGGCCACCAGACCCCTCCGCCTTCCTCGATTCCCAGAAGTCTGATCCCCAAACTATTACCTTATTTAGAGACCCAGGAGTCCTGTTCCCTACTTCCCTTCTCAGGACAGTACCCAACCTAGCAGCTCTTACCCCGCTCAGGAACCCAGGAGATCGCCTTCACCTCCCACTCCCTTGGGACCTCAGGAGTCCGGGTTACCACTCTGCACCCCTCACTCACTGGTCCGCCATGCTGAGGCCTGAGTCTGGAATTGCGACAGGCAGAAAACGGGGAAAGGGGCGCTCAGTGGGTGAGTTAGGGGGTGTCCGGGGTGACCTTGGAGGTCCTGGGACACCAGATTTCCTCCTGGTTGTTCAAGCCTCACTGAGGACACGGAGATAAAGGGAGAGGACAGAGACTAAATATACTGCCGCTGCCTCCACCCCCTTTCCAGGATGCGAGATAACGGGGCGCGTGAGGGGTGGAGTTGGCCGTGCTCCAGCTGGCTCACCCCTGGCACCTTGGTGGCCTACAGATCCAGTCCCCTCATCCCCCAGTACCAAGAGTGTAGGCCCCAGGCCTCTCCTTCCTCAGACCCAGCAGTCCTGGCCCTCAGTTCCTTCCCTAAAATGTAATCTCCATGAGAACTGGAACTTTGTGTTTTTCATCGTCTTATAGTCAGTTTGTTGACTGACATGAGCATTCAGCTGTGGGGGCCCAGGCTCCCACCTCACGTTACCTCAGAATCCACCCTCAGTCCATTAGGAAACCCAGAAATCCGGTCTCCAGGCCCCTCCCCTCCATCAGCCTCTGACGACAGACTGAAAACAGGAAAGACACATGGACACATAGAGAAGAAGACTCCACTCTTTACTGGGACCACTTGGGTAATAGCCAGGCCCGGCTGAGAAGACACTCCCACCCTCCAGTTAGCAACAGAGACTTCTTAGACAAGAGGGCTGATGCAGAGGGCCTGACACCCAATGGGTTTAGAGTCTCAGGAGTGGAATTTAGGATTCTAAGAGAACATTCTAGAATTCTAGGAATAGATTATAGAAGGCTGTGAATGGAATTTGAAATTCTGGCAACACCTCCAGGGCTGAGTGAGAATCTTGAGAGTAAAACTGAGAATTCTAGTGGTGGGTCTAGAATTCATCAGCTGTGTTCTAATTCCATGACCTGACTTTAGGAGTTAGAGCTGGGGGACTCGGCATGGGGTCAGACTCTCTGGCTTTGGGGTCTGACCCACGGAGGGCATAGTCAAAGCCTTCTGGGGTGGAGCCAGAACCTCCAAGAGGGAACCTTGAAACTCTGAGGGCTGCTTGAGGGACTCAGAGGGTGGGGCCAGGCCTCCAAAGGGCTGGGTGAGATCCTCAGGGGTTGGAACCATGGCTTCAGGAGGCAGAATCGTGGCTTCAAGAGGTGGGGCCATGGATTCAGGGGGCGTGACTATGGCTTCAGGAGGTGGAGTCATGGTTTCAGGGGGCGAGGCCACGGCTTCTAGAGGTGGGGAAACGACCTCGGAAGGCAGGACCAGGACTTCTGTGGACGGAGTCCCAGATCCCACAGCTTGGTCAATGCTGCCTGGAGAAGAGTCCTCGGACTTGTAGAAGCGCGCAAAGGTCTCTGAGGACCTAGCCCCTGACTGAGGGGCAAACCCAGCAGCCTGAGCCAGCTCCCCGACCCGGACAGAGAACGCCTGCAGCTGCTCCTGCCGCAAGTCTACCAGGTACCTGAGGCCAGAAAGAGGCGAGTTAGGGACCCACTTTCGGACCCGGGCTTTGACGTTCCCTGCCCTGTGCTCTTCTGGCTCACCGAGCTAATTCCACAGTCAGGCGCCCTCCAGGGACCATACAGGCCCCGAGCTCAGGGCTGAGAAGGTGGACCATCCTGCGGAGAGAAAGGGGAAGGAGGCAGAGGGTCAGACTCTCAGGTCTTAAGGGAGGAAGAGGCTGGGGACCCAGACTCCTGGGTTTGAGGGAGGAAGGGGCTGGGGATCCAGCCCTGTATCCATGAGGAAGGAGGGTCTGTGAGAGGGAAGCCTGGGTGCCTCCCAGGTCCTCTTACCCACAGGACACATAGAGAAGCTGGAACCGTCCCTTGTAGCAGCTCTTGTGGTGGAGAGTTTGGGAAGAACCAAGGGACAGGAAGTGGACAGTGAAGGACTCCTGGGCAGGGGCTACTGTGAAAGAGCAGAGAGGGGTCATCCTGCTGGGTGGGGTCATAGGTGTGAGGGTCTGAAATCCAGAGAGACATAGATACTGGCAGAGTCTGGGCAGATACACAAAGCTTGGAAATAACACCGTGTGTAAATGTCTGTCATGAAGCCCTTTCTTATCCTTTCTCTTAGGGAGATTCCTGGAAAATTCTGGGGAGTTCAGCCTGGCAAGCAGACCCACTTTAAAGACCAGACAACAGACTCAAGGGACGGTCGGAGACTGAATGGCCCAAGTCACATGGCGCTTCTTCCCTAGAGTGGGACAGACACCCAGGGAGAGCCCGGCCAGGGGATAGTTAGAGGGAAGCATGGCCAGCATTCGTGAGAGAGTGTGTGTGTGTTGTGAAATTGGGTCTCCAAAGGGGAGCTGGGACCTAGCACCCTGTGAGAATGTTCTCAACCACCTTAGACTTCCACAGGTAAATCAGAATTCTATGAGTGGAATTCAGAATTCTAGGAAAGGTGTGAGGATTTAGGAAAAGAAGAGAAACATCAAGAGGAGAGAGGGACTCGAACCACGGCTTTGAATTGGGTCCCTCCGGTTTGAACCCCTGCTAAGAATTTGTATTTCCACCCCAGACATACTGAATCAGAATATACTATTTAATAAGATCCTCAGGTGATTCTTATGTGTCATAAAATTTGAGAACCACTGCTCTACTAGAGCAGCCCTCCTGGCACAGTGGTTAAGAGCTCAGGCTGCTAACCAAAAGGTCGGCAGTATGAATCCACCAGCCGCTCCTTGGAAACCCTATGGGGCAGTTCTACTCTGTCCTATAGGGTCACTATGAGTCGGAATCAACTAGACAGCAACGGGTACAGCCTGGGACCAGGGTGCCGGTTCCACTCTTTGATTTGTCCCCTGGCCTTCACCATCCCACCCCTAGCCTCCTATTTCAAAGGGGAGGGCTGAGTCTCTCCCTTACCTGGCTGCAGGTTTACATCCTCCCCGCTCTGCACCTGCTCCGGGTCCCGCTGGGCGGCTCTTGGGCGCCCCCAAGCGGCTACCTCCCGGAACAGCTCTGTCACGTTGTGTTGGGTGATTTCACCCGCGGTCTGAGGAGAGGGGACATGGCCAGACGCTGGGGCTGCGAACGCGGGGGCGGGGCTTACAGTAAGGAGGAACGAGCACTAGAACCGAAGTCTAAGAACTCTGGGCAAGCGTGGATCCCAGGCACCCGATTTAAAATCCAAAAGGAGCCCTAGAGCGCAAGGAGGTAGGATCGGATGCGGGGCCTAGCACGCGGAGGCGGAGCCCTCGCTGTTGGGGGTGTGGCCAGGCATTTGGAGGTGGATACCGGGGCACTTGGGGCGGGGTTTAGTAGCCAAAGGTGGAGCCTAGGAGTTTGGGCTGTGCTTGTATAACTTGGGTGGAGGCGCCTCACCAATGCGAGGAGCGGAACCTGGAACTCCCGGGGAGTGCCCAACGGTTTGGGGGCGGGCCCTGGGATAAAGAGGGCGGGGCCTCAAGAACCCGCTCACAGCCCCAGCCCCGCCTACCGCACACCTTGACCGGCCGCCCGTTGCTGGTCCGCAGGAGGCTCTGGTCGTCCGCTTCGATGCCGAAGGCCACAAAGGGCCCCGTGGCGATGTCCCCCCAGTACCCGCGCGCCGTCACGCGCTCCCCATGCTGGGAAAACAGGGAAATAGGGAGCAAGTGAGGCCGGTATTAGAGAAGGAGGAGCGGGCCAGGGCAGAGGGTGCACACGCACGTGGCTCAGGAGGCGCCCAGACGCTAGGGTCCGGTTGGGCAGGTGGTAGGAGCTGGAGTCTCTGAGTTCGAAGGCGACGCCTGTGTCCCTCCAGCGCCGGAACTCGCGAGTATGGATGACCTGACCCTGTGGAGGAAGGAGGGAGGGAAGGAGGCCTCAGTGAACCTGGCTTTTGGGTCCCCAGCCCTTCCCCGCTCAGATCCAGGATTTCATTCACCCCAGCCCCTCCTCCTTCAGACGCAGGAGTCTCAGCCCCTAGCCCCTCCTCCCTCAGCCCCGGAAGTCGCAGCCCCCAGCCTCCTCCTCCGTTAGCCTAGGGAGCCCAGTCCCTCAGCCCCCTCCTCCCTCGGACCTAGCCCCTCCTCGCCGCGCCTCTCACCCCGCGGTCGTGCAGCTTCATGTGCAGGTCCCAATCGCTGACACCGCGCCGGGCGTCGTAGCGGGAACCCAGGTAGTGGCGTACCCGCAGGTCCCAGAGGCGGCTCACGGGGAAGGCCTCCGGCCCCTTCTCCCCACCCGCCCAGAAGCGGAACACGGCCTCCAGGGCGTCCCGCTCGCGGAACTGCGTGGGGAAAGAGAGAGGGAGACAGGAATGGAGGGAGACCAGCTTCTCTTGCTTCACCCTCCCATCTATTCCAGGGGATGGGAAGTACTTTCCTATTTCTCAGATGAAGAAACTGAAGCTCAGAAGGCAGAAGCCAGCCTCTGGTGCCAGATGCCACAGCGGGAGTCGGGGCGCTGGGACTCGAACTCATGGCCTCCACCCACTCCATCAACACATATCCCTCTGGACTGCCTATCCCCCTTCTTCTGGCAGCCCCGGGAGCCTGGGGGATGGCACTGACCTTGAGGGCACCCAGGCTGAGCCAGGGCAGCTGCTCTGCCAGGCGGTCGGGCTCGAGGACCAGGTGCGCCAGGCGCTCGGCCTGGTAGCGCACGAAGGCAGCCACTGTGGGGCGCAGCAGCGCGTTCCCCCACACCTCCAGGAAGGTCTCGCTTCTCTCTGGTGGGGAGGGCGGAAAAAATGAGTGGAGGGATCTAGGGGAGTGAGCCCCGAAATCAGACCCGTGGGGATGAAGAATTCTCTCTCGAATGTATATTCATTGATATGCATATGATTATCATTTAATAGTCATAGAATGTATATAACAAACTCCCATCAACTCCCCGCCCATCCCACCATCTCCGTAACTGCAACATGTAGAATAACCTAACCTAGGTCTCCTTTCCCATTCCTACCCAAACCCCAGGTAACCACAATCCTGAATTTGTATATATATATATATAAATATATATATATATGGAGCCCTGGTGACACAGTGGTTAAGCACTCAACTGCTAACCGAAAAGTTGGTGGCTAGAATCTACCAGCCGATCCGTGGTTGAAAGATGTGGCAGTCTACTTCCCTAAAGATTACAGCCTTGGAAACCCTATGGGCAGTTGTACTTTGTCCTACAGAGTCGCTATCAACTCAATGGCAGTGGGTTTGATAGTTATTTACAAATCTTATAGGCATATAGGAAAGAATTATATATCTTCAGTTGTATTAATGCTGTTAGGTGTCGTCGGGTAGGTTCCAACTCATAGCCATCCTATGTATGACAGAACGAAACACTGCCCAGTCGTGCGCGATCCTCACAATCGTTGTTATGCTTAAGCCTATTGCTTGTATATGATTATATATATATACATATATATCATTTCTATATCTCTATATCTGTACATCTATCTATCTGTAGTTTTTTTAGTTGTTTAAGAACCTTGTAGGAGAGAACTATATACTTTCAGTTGCATATGATATATATGTATATATGTATGCTATATCTATAAGGAGCCCTAGTGGTGCAATGGTTAAGTACTCTGCTGCTAACCAAAAGGTCAGCACCCACCATCATCTCTGTGGGAGAAAGACCTGGCAATCTATTCCCGTAAAGATTACGGCCTAGAAAATCCTACGGGACAGTTCTACCCTGTCACATGGGGTTGCTATGAGTCAGAATTGACTCCATGGCAATGGGTACCTATGTGTATATAAATTGTTTCATTTTAGTTGTTTAAGAACCTTATAGGAGAGTGTCATGCATTGAATTGTGTCCCTCAAAAATATCTGTCAACTTGGCTAAGTCATGATTCCTAGTATTGTATGACTGTCTACCATTTTACCATCTGATGTGACTTCCCCATGTGTTGTAAACTCTGTCACTATGATGTAATAAGATGGATTAGCGGCAGTTATATTGATGAGGTCTACAAGATTAGATAGTGTCTCAAGCCAATCTCTTTTGATATAAAAGAAAGAAGCGAGCAGAGAGACATGGGGACCTCATACCACCAAGAAAGCAGTGCCAAGAGCAGAGCGCATCCTTTGGACCTGGGGTCCCTGGGCGGAGAAGCTCCTAGTCCGGGAGAACATTGATGAGAAAGCCGAGAGAGAGCGAAAGCCTTCTCCTGGAGGTGACGCCCTGAATTTTGACTTTTAGCCTACTTTACTATGAAGAAATAAATTTCTCTTTGTTAAAGCCATCCACTTGTGTTATTTCTGTTATAGTAGCACTAGATGACCAAGACAGAGAGCGTGCTATCTTTTAGTTTTATAGATAGAGATTAGTTTTACTTCTAGTTGCCTAAGAACCTTACACAAGGTGTATTGTGCAACATGTGATCTTCCGAATGCCCTGGGCTATTAATGACAACCATCCATAATTCTGATATGAATGTTGTTGTTGTTAGTTGCCATTGAGCAGATTCACTCATGGTGATCCCACGTGAGCAGAGGAGAACTGCTCCATAGGGTTTTCAAGGCTGTGACCTTTTGGAAGCAGGTCACCAGGCCCATTTTCCGAGGTGACTTTGGGTGGGTTCAAACCACCAAACTTTGGGTTAGTAGTTGAACACTTAACCACTGGCACCACTCAGGCACTCCCCTGATAAAAATAATAATTGCTAAAACATACAGAGCCCATGCCATACTCCAGGTGTTATAGAATTTTGATGAAAACCTCACAAGAATCGTATGGCACGGACCTTGTAGGATCCTTGTTTCATAAGCGTGGAAACAGGCCCAGAAAGGGGCAGACACTAGCTTGAGGCCACATAGCAAGCAGATTCAGGATTTGAACCCAGCTTGTTTGAGTTGAGAGACCTTGGTCTAGGTGCTAAGTTTAAGTTGTTATAACAGAGAGATAAAAACCCACTTCTTTCTACCTCCCCACCCAACTTCTTCTCCTCCCAGGTTCAGGCTCAGCTCCAAGGCTGCCTCCACCAGGCAAATTCCCTGGGATTCATACCCCTAAGGGAGTCTGTGGGCAGAACGGAGATCAGGTTAGCCAAACCCTACCCAATCTCCTGTCTTTTATGCCTGCCCATTTCTAGGCGAACCACACTCAGGAAGTCTCCAGACATCTTTTGGCAGGAGGCTTTGAACATTTACACTGTGTCATGTACTGTTGTGAGTTTCATGTGGATTTTCTCCTGGAATTCTCTTAACCGCTCTGTTGTTGTGTGCCAATGAGTCGATTCCGACTCTTTAGCGACCTAGAGGACAGAGTAGAACTGCCCCATAGGGTCTCCTAGGCTATAATCTTTATGGGAGCAGACTGCCAGGTCTTTTCTCCCGTAGAGCGCCTGGTGAGTTCAAACTGCTGACCTTTCGGTTAGCTGCCAAGGGCTTTAACCACTGCGCCACCAGGACTCCTTTCAATGGCTCTAGGAGGTATCATATATTTAGCTCCATTTTACAGATGGGAAAAGCTGCGGCTCTAAGAGCACCAAATGAGTGAGCAAGTGATGAAATAGGGGGCAATGACCAAATGTTTAAATTGTAATTGCAACATAGAGATGTCAGAATCCTGCAGGGAATGGGAAGGGCCTGGGGGCCAGAATGTCGGGGTCCTTGTGACTCACCTTGCAGCCCCATCTTCTCAGGTTCCTCCAGGGCTAGACTGAAGATCAGCATGTGTCGGGCCACAGCTTCCAGATTATTCTCCAGCAGGTAGAACTGGAAGGATGGACAGGGGAGACTGATTCTGAGACCTGCACCCCTGGTTGATAGCAGACCCAGGTGTGCAGGCCCTCAGTCCCTTCCTTCCACAGGACCCAGGTGTTCTGTGCACCAGCCCCCCCCCCCCACCAAACACAGTATTATGGGCCCCAAGCCTCCTCTGCCCCACCTAGAGGAGACCAGATCTTTAGGTCCTTCCTTCTGCTAACTAGCTGACATCAAGTCAATTCCAAGTCATGGCAACCCCATGTATGTCACAGTAGAACTGTGCTGCATAGGATTTTCAGTGGCTGATTTTTCGGAAGCAGATCACCAGGCCTTTCTTCCGAGGTGCCTCTGGGTGGACTCAAACCTCCAACCTTTGGGTTAGCAGAGAGTGCATTAACCATTTGCACCACCCAGGGACTCCCTTCCTCCCTCCAGAATCCAGGAATCCCAAACTTTAGCCCTTTTTCTCAAAGACTCAGGAGTCAGGGCCACCACCTACCACCTCCCTCAGACCCAGGAGTCCAGGCTCCAGGTCCTTCCTATCTGGACCCAGAAGCCCTGGCCACCAACTCCTTCCTCACCGAGGACTCAGGAGTTCACGTCCCCAGCTTCCAGCTCCCTCAGATCCAGGAGTACAGACTCCAGCTCCTTCCTCCCTAGACTTAGGATTTTAGACCTCCAACCCCCTCCTCCCTCAAGGACTCAGGAATCTGGGCTCCCATACTAATCCTCCTCCTTCCACGAATCCCTGCTCACGTTGAACTTCCTGCGAGGCCAGCATGCGGCCCGGGCCAGGGTTCGCAGCAGGTGCCGTCCATCCACGGAGCCCAGCAGCAGCACATCTAGCTCAGGAATCCCGCGCTCCGTTTCTGCCTTCGAGTCTGGGTTCACAGGAGGACCTGGCAATGCGACAGCTGGCTGGGGCTGATGGCCACCAGAGCGCCCTCAGTAGCCGCCCCTAGAACAATGGACTATAAATCCCAGCAGGACTTGCACTGTTTGCCTAGGTTCCAACGGGAGCTGTGCCTCTAAGCCTTCTGGGAATAGTAGTCCGCACAGAGGACATTGGGGCTGCCCACTATGGGCGCGCCCTCTGCCGTTGGAGCCTTAGAATGTTAGAGCTCCTCTTGCCATCGACGCTGGGACTACAAGTCCCAAAAGGCCTTACGCCGTCTGCCGCCGATGTGAAGGCAGCCGCTGTACCAGAGCTTGCTGGGATTTGTAGTCACGCGGGAGACAGTTAAAGGATGGGGTCGACGACTCACTTTCAGCCTGCAGGTCCAGCGCCGGGGACAGACCCCACCAGGACACGGAACCGAAGCCTGTGCCGGAGCCTGCCGGTGTGGTCATCGCCCTGCGGGACAGACATCCTGGAAATTCCCAAACACTATCTCTGCATCGCCAACCCCCACTCCTTTACCGCCACTCCTGACTTCTTGCCTCCATGTTTGCCTCCATGTTACAGCCCCCTCACCTTTATTCTTCCAAATATCTCGGATCGCCCCCGACTCCCTGCTCGAGCTGGGCTGCGGTCCCGTGCCCCCTCCACAACCGCTGCCCATAGCCCCCACCTTTTCGACCAATCAGCCAATGGGAGTATGTGAGCTGGTACCGCCCCAATCAACTGACCAATGAAAGTGAGAGGGACTCGCCCGCTAAGAACTTTTGGCCAATGGGAGCACTGAGGGGCGGTGTCCCCGGCCTGCGGGAAAAGAGGGCGTACGGACGCGGTTGTCTTGACGACGGGGCTCTGGGGAAGGGGCGGGGCTGGGAGAGGCTGGGGCGGAGTCTGGATCGGTCCAAATTTCTGGAACGGGGGAGGCTTGGGCTGATCCAAATTTAAACAGAGGGGAGCGTGGATTAATCTAGATTAAAGTGTAGACTTTAAATATGTGTAACTCTCTCTGTCCCTCTTCCTCTCACACCCTGAGCACTACCACACAGGGTTTCTCACCAGGTGATGTGCTGGAGCCAGCTAGCACTGGCTCATGATTTTCAGAAATTTTGTGAGCTGGTTGTTACACACAGCCATTACTAAAAATTATATAAATTTGCAATTAAGTTCATTATATTAAAATAAAGGTAATAAGTACTCAAAACTCAACATTTCCTATTTTACTACCCTTTACTATTATCGCTGCTTTTGAGGTTATTTACATTTATTATACCTGTATAGAGGAAAACTACTGCCCCGTCAGTTTGTTGTACTGTGGTGTCTTGCTTGTTGCTGTGATGCTGTATGCTATGTCACTGGTATTTCAAATACCAGCAGAGCCACCGCTTGTGGACAGGTTTCAGGGAAGTTTCTAGACTAAGACAGATTAGGAAGAAAGGCCTGGAGATCTACTTCCAAAAATCAGTCAATGAAAACCTTATGGGTCACAACAGAACACTGACTGACTTGCTTGGTTTGGACACGTCAGCCGGAGGGGTCAGTCGCTGGAGGAAGACATCATGTTTGGTGACAAAGAGGGCCAGCAAGGGTGAGGGGGACCCTCAGTGAGATGGATTGGCACAGTAGCCAAAACGTGGACTGAAACATGCCGGCGATCTTGAGGATGATGCAGGGCTGCACAGCTCTTTTGTTCCACTGTACTGAAGTTCTCCATGAGTCAGAGTCGATTTAACAGTACCTATCTATCTAGCTATCTATCTATGAAGGAATTACTATTTTAATGCGAATACTTAGATAATTAAATTAGCAAACTGCACCCAGGGGCTGGCTGCCTGTTTTTGTAAATAAAGTTTTTTTGGAACAAGGGCGGATTAGAAACCAGGGCTGGGATGAGGCGAGGGAGGCAGGGTCGTGCAAATGCAGGGTCAAATCCTGTCTTTATTTAAAATTTTGATATTTTGTTCATCATGGATTTGCTGTGCTAATTTTAATTTTTTAAAATATTGCATTGAATATTATTTATCTTGAGTACTGAGTATTTTGACACCCCCAGACATTTTGAAACCCTAATTCCAGCCCTGGGAAATACTATATAATGGTGTGCTACTAGGCATCTCTTCTCTCAATTCCGCATTCAGCCATTTCACGTTGGTATCTTGAAATCAGTCATGGTGAGAGTATTTGCACCACAGAAATGGACAAACTACATAGCAAGCTTCGGAGAATCTATTGTTAACAGTACATCACAGGAAGCACAGGTTCTCTAGTGCCTCCAGCTCTGTGTTCTTTGCTTTGTTCCTTCCCTCTAACATCCTTCCCTATTCTTCCCCCGGAAAAATCCTGTTGATATCCTAATTTTGTACTTCTAGCCCCTAGAACTGTGAGACAACACATTTCTGTTCTTATAAGCCAACCAGTTTGTGGTGCTTAGTTAAGGCAGCCCTAGGACACCAATACAAGGGTTTCTGGGATGGGCACCCCTTTCCCTTCCCACTCCTGGAGATTAAGTTGCCTCCTGGGCCTGCGGCCCCCGCCCACTACCACCAAGGAGCATGGGGCCAGGCCACCACAGCTGCTGAGCTTTTATTTGGACCCACGAACAGCGTGGGGATTAGACTGGGACAGGAGTGCGTGATCCTGTGTAGAAGGGACCTGCAACAGATTGGGGTTACTGACCGTCAAAGCAGAGGGGAAGACCCTGGGGCAGGGAGAGACTAGACTGCTTCCCTGTTCCCAGGGGTCCCTGGTGCTTCTGGGTATGTGCGTGGTGGTGGAGTTGGCAAGTTATCATGATTGGCATAATGGCGGGGGGAGGGTGAGAAGGCAGGAATGGATCAGATGGTGGGGCAGGGGAAGGGTTAGTGGTAGAGGAGGCTTCGAGATGGGACTGGGCTTGGCTTGGGCCAGGGTGAGGAGTCTGGGATCAGTGCCGAGAGTCCAGGTCTAGCCAGGGGCTTGGCGGTGGCGATCAGGGCGCAGGCGGGTGTCTCACTCGATCAGGGGGCCTCAGCGAGTGCCACTGAGCAATAGGCCGCCGGGGGTTGGCCAGCATGTCCGCCCAATGCCGCAGGCCAGCCCCGCCGACGACTGCCCCCACCGCCACCCTTCCGATGGCCTCGTTCTTGCCCAGTTTGTCGTAGTCCAGCACGGTCAGCTCCACCTGTACCTTCTGGGGTGGATGGGGGAGGAAGAGACGGTGGGTGCGTGGGGGAAGGAGGCACGGGGGAGGGGCTTAGTTATCGTTGCTAAGGGTACCTTCTTCCTAGCAACCAGAGTTCTAAGGAGCCGTACTAGGCCCTTTGGCTAAGACTTGGCCTGGAGCTAGGGACAATGGCAGGGGTAGGAGGCGGGAAGGATGGAGACCCCTATAGTTAAAGAGATGCCCTGGAGTTTTTCTTTCTCGCAGCTATATATCTAAGGAGATATGAGCTCCATTACGGAGCCCTGTTATGCGTTGGGCTGCTAACCTAAAGACTGGTAGTTCAAACCCACCCAGCTGCTCCGAAGGAGAAAGACCTGCGGGTCGGCTTCTGTAAAGTTTACAGCCAAGAAAATCCTATGGGGCAGTTCTACTCTGTCACATGGGGTCATTATAAGTCAGAATCTACTTGATTCTAACTAACAACAAGAGCTCCACTGCCTGGGGGGTTTTAGGAACCTCCTTAGAGATCAGCCTTCTAAGGAGTAAACCTTCAGGACCCTGAAATAGGCGGAGAGGCCAGGTCTTACCCAGTTTCTAAAGGTTTGCTGGGAGGTGTTTTTGTGCTTCCTAAGGGGGCAGGACACTCTGATCTTCATTAGACCAATTTTAAGGAAACATTCTTCAGTGAGTGAGGCTTCCTGTTCCTCGTAGGAGGAGAGATTGAGAATCCAACTTCATACCTCCAGGACCTGGTTTCTAGGGAGTTGCTAAGGTGACTCCTTTCCCCTAGAAATGAGGGTTTCTAAGGGCCTGGGGCTCTTGGGGAAGGAAGAGCTGCAGGGCCAGGGCAATGGGCAGGCCTAAGCTCACCTGGACCTGGTCACAAGGCACCTCAAAGCTGAAAGCCTCGTTGTAATAGGGGTTCAGAGTGTTCTTCTTGATGGTTGTTTTCTTCTTCCGCACCTTTTTGCCTCCCTGGAGCAGGTGGACCTTGACATAGGGATCTGGGGAGAGGGACAAATTGTCTCACAGCCCACCCTTGCCATCTTAATCCAGGAAGATCCAAAAGGGGGTAATGAATGAAACACTTCTTTGGACTCACATGCACCTGTTAGATCTTCCTCCCTCCTTGGCAATATCTAATGTAAATTCTCCCACAGCATTGTGGGCCCCCCAAGGGTATCCCCCCAATATACTTTTGGGGCCCATGCACCTTCAGGACCTTAGCCGGAGAAACTCCCCACCTCTGTTTCCTTGCTTTCCACACACCTGACAATCCCCCCACATCCATCTTCTTCAGGTTTTTAGCCTCCAGGACGATGACCGTGAGCTTCCCTGCCGTGGGGACATAGCGGAGGGAGAAGCAGATGTCTCCTAGTTTCTCTTGCTAAAAGAAGGAAAAGGACCTGCAGTGCCATGGATCGGTTTTGTGTGGGCTTTCTCGCCATGGTCTGGTAACTGCCACCCAGGTGATTGGGTGGGACTGTGCAAATGGGATAGTTGTGGTCCACCAAGGGTATTGGTCAGCTTTGTCTTAAAAAGAGAGCCAATTCAGAGCGGGGAGAGGATCCCACCACCACCAAGGAAGAAGAGCTAGCGCATCCATCTTTTGGACCCAGGATCCCTGTGCTGAGAAGCTCCTGGAACCAGGAGATGGAGAGACAGAGAGCTGTAACACAGCAGACGGTGAGAAGCGGTGGCAGAGAAATGATGGCAGGAGAGATTGGCACAGTAGGCTTCCTGGCCCCTGGGGCCAGAAAGCTGAGTGCCTTTGGGCCAAGGCTTACTGGCGGAGTGGGGTGCCTGTGGGAACTTATCTCCTGAGCTAAAAGAGCCTTGTAACACTTGCCCTAACTGAGGGCCTGAGAGGCATACCTGTGAGCATGGCTGAGAAGAGGCTGTGCTGATGGAAGAACTGTATCCTGAACCTGAATTATAACCTGTCACTTCCCTAATAAACTCCATAATCACGAGCATTGTTTGTCAGTTCTCTGTGGCCATTGCAATGACTTATCGAATACAGCAGAGTAGTAGAGAGTGCTGTGAGAGGGATGGTTGGTGTCAGAATTGGTAAAGACAGCGGAGAGAGGAGGCATGTCTGACCTCTGCCTCATAGGAATCAGCCTTGGGATGTTGATCTTGATTCTCCTTCCCCCTTATGAAGTTAGAGGAGGTCAGACACCTCCTTCACGCCATTTTTTACAGACCCCATCACCAGAGCCCCTGAGCCACACGTCCATCCTCTCTGCCCACCTTTCTTCCCTCTTCCTTGCCTTGGAATGGAATGGTCCAGAGTTAAGTTCCTAGTGGTAC